TTAATATCTGCAGGATGGTTTCTTTGATGCTAATTCCTACACATCTATTAGCTAAACCCATAGCGTCCACAGTCCCCAGCGGGAGGAAGAAGGTTCCGTTTCTCATTTTAACACTGAGCAAACAGGTCCAGAGAGGTTAAGTAGTCTGCAAAGAGGGCTTCAGCGTGGCTGTGGGGCACTGGACCCAGAGGAGGCCCAGGGAGGTTCAAAAGGAAAGCAGCAAGGGGTCACACCAAGGTGGACGGTCTGGCCTGGGGTCGTCTGCCAGGCTCCCAGACCCGCAGGGGTCCTTTGCTGCCAGGGCTGCTGCTTTCCCAGCTGGCCCTTCTCGCTGCGCACAGATGCCCTTGTTTATGCCTTCTCTTCCTGAGGAACCCCCCGGGGCTTCCCTCTGCAGCTCCCAGCCCCCAGCCGAGCACCTGACCGGCCACGTCCCTGGGACAGCACAGCCACATTGTCCGGCATTTCCCGTCCCGGGAGCACCCACTCTCAATAAACCCACACACAAGGTCCCCAGGTAGACACTGCTGTCAATCCCGCTCACAAAAGAAGGAAAGCCAGGAAGGAAAAGGCTGGCCAACGTCCAGATCACAGAGCTCGTTGGTGGCGCCACAGCTGGAAGGAGAAAAGGCCCCACCTCACCATCTCTGTTCCTGAGCTCAATTCGGCAGCACACACATTAAAACGGGAACAATACTGAGAAGAGGAGCATGATGCCTGTGCAAATGAGCGAAGCACTTCATACTTTTAGCTTACGGTACCCCGATTTAAAAACATGAGTAAAAACAAACAAATATAGTTAAGATGGTGACAAATTTTTTTTAAAGGAAAATCCTTCCTCCTGCATCCCAGGCATTGTGTTAACACTTTTATAGGAATAATCTCACTTTGTCTCCAGAGCAGGGTGGCCAGTACCATTAACCACACTCTGTCCTCAAGAAACGAAAGGTTAGTGAGGTCAAGGGACCTGGCCAAGCTTGTCAGGATGGAGGCTGGACAGAGCCCGCAACTGGCCCTTGTCACAGAACGTTCCACGGCAGAGCTGTGCATAGACACACGTGGCTACCTTACCTATTAGGAGTTGGGGTCCGGTGTTCCACTCCTGTTTTGCGGTGGTTGTTTCTGCGTCGCTGGCCTTGCGCTGTGGGTTGAGGCGGTGAACTCGAGAATGCCTGGTGTGGGACCCTGGTGGTCATCCCAGGTCTGGGACACGGGGCAGGCCACTCAGGCTCCTTTAGGCTTAGCTTCCTCATCTGTAAAATAGGACTAGCACCAGTACAGGCTTGTAGGGCTGTGGTGTGGCCCGAGTGAGGTGATGCATTTGTACACTTAGCGCCGAACCTGGTTTCCAACAAAAGCTGAAAATAAGCTGCTGTTGCTATTAATTACCCTTACAGCTTAGAGAATACTTTTGCATATGTCGTTTGACTGGGTTCTCACGCTAGCATTGAGAGAGTGGGGAAGGTCACTCAGTTCAGTCGCTCAGTCGTATCTGACTCTGCAACTCCATGGACTGCAGCACACCAGGCCTCCCTGTCCACCACCAACTCCCGGCGCTGACTCAAACTCATGTCCACTGAGTCGGTGATGCCGTCCAACCATCTCATCCTCTGTCGTCCCCTTCTTCTCCTGTCCCCAATCCCTCCCAGCATCAGGGGCTTTTCCAATGAGTCAACTCTTTGCATGAGGTGGCCAAAGTGTTGGAGTTTCAGCTTCAGCATCAGTCCTTCCAATGAATATTCAGGACTGATCTCCTTTAGGATGGACTGGTTGGATCTCCTTGCAGTCCAAGGGACTCTCAAGAGTCTTCTCCAACACCACAGTTCAAAAGCATCAATTCTTCAGTGCTCAGCTTTCTTTATAGTCCAACTCTCACATCCATACATGACTATTGGAAAAACCATAGCTCTAATTAGGCAGATCTTTGTTGGTAAAGTAATGTCTTTGCTTTTTAGTATGCTGTCTAGGTTGGTCATAGCTTTTCTTCCAAGGAGCAAGTGTCTTTTAATTTCATGGCTGCAGTTACCATCTGCAGTGATTTTGGAGCCCCAAAAAATAAAGTCTCTCACTGTTTCCTTTTTTCCCCATCTATTTGCCATGAAGTGATGGGACCAGATGCCATGATCTTAGTTTTCTGAATGTTGTGTTTTAAGCCAGTCTTTCCACTCTCTTCTTTCACTTTCATCAAGAAGCTCTTTAGTTCTTCTCAGTTTTTCTGCCATAAGGGAGGTGTCATTTGCATATCTGAGGTTATTGATATTTCTCCCAGCAATCTTGATTTCAGCTTGTACTTCATCCAGCCCGGCATTTCACATGATGTACTCTGCATATAAGTTAAATGAGCAGGGTGACAATATGCAGTCTTGACGTACTCCTTTCTCAGTTTGGAACCAGTCTGTTCCATGTCCAGTTCTAACTATTGCTTCTTGACCTTCATACAGATTTCTCAAGAGGCTGGTAAGGTGGTCTGGTATTCCCATCTCTTGAAGAATTTCCCACAGTTTGTTGTGATCCACACAAAGTCTGGCATAGTCAATAAAGCAGAAGTAGATGTTTTTCTGGAACTCTTCCAGTGGACCTTAGGAAGTGGGAAGGGTAGGACTTATTATTCCTATTGTTTCACACAAGGCAGCCAAATACACTTATTCCAGAGTTACCTGGAAGAGTAAACAATACGCAAGACGTGAATGAAACTAGAAGAGCTAGAAGGGACACTTTTATCAAATAGCAAGACTTAGTATAAAGACTAGCTGTGTATAATTAAGAAAGTAACATCCCAGGAATGCACATGAAGAGATGGCAAAGCAGAAGGAAAAACTTGTCTGTTTCAACACTTAGGTCATGAAAGAAACAGAGTTTAAAATGAGATAGCCTTCCAAGAGAACAGCATCAAAACATGTATATTATCTAGGGTGAAACAGATCACCAGCCCAGGTTGGATGCATGAGACAAGTGCTCGGGCCTGGTGCACTGGGAAGACCCAGAGGGATCGGGTGGAGAGGGAGGTGGGAGGGGGGATCGGGATGGGGAATACATGTATATCCATGGCTGATTCATGTCAATGTATGACAAAAACCACTACAATATTGTGAAGTAATTAGCCTCCAACTAATAAAAAATAATAATAAATAAAATGAGATAGCCTTTTATAGCCATCAGACTGGAAAAATTAAGAATGGCAATTTTCAGTGTTGGAGTTTACGTAGGAAAACACACATTCTCTATACTGCTAAGTGTGTGGGGGTTGTGGTGTGGAACTGAGAATGAATCAAACATTTTGAGGCAGCAGTTTGGCATATCAAAATGCCACATGCTGTTCTCTGACGCAGAGGTTGTCCTTCCAGAATTTACCCTTATGTAATGAGAACTGTTTATCACATCATTTGTAATAGGAAAATAATGAAAGCTGCTTAAATGTCCATCAATAAGGAATTGTTTAAATAAATCACAGTATGTTCATAAACTACTAAAAATGCTATATAGGGACTTCCCTGGTGGTCCGTAGGCTAAGACTCCATGTTTCCAATTCAGGGGACCCTACTTCAACTAAAGATTCTGCATGTCACAACTAAAGATCCCACACACTGCAACTAAGACCTGGCCCAGCCAAAAAAAAACCTAGAATGATAATATTGCTATAGACTATTGCTATAGACTGGGCTTCCTGGGTGGCGCAGTGGTAAAGAACCTGCCTGCCAATGCAGGAGACACAGGAGACACTGGTTTGACCCCTCAGTTGGGAAGAGCCCCTGGAGAAGGAAATGGCAACCTGCTTGAGTATTCTTGACTGGAAAATTCCAAGGACGGAGGAGCCTCGTGGGCTAGTCACAGTATCACAAAGAGTCAGACGCAACAGAGTGACTGAGCATGCACACTGGCACAGACTACTGAATAAACAATAAAGATTGCCTTAACCCTATCATTCAGAAGTAATTATTGGTAAAATTTCTTATTTCCTCAGCCTTCTTTGTGTGTGCATACATTATTTTAAGAAATGGAGTTATTCCACATGTATTACTTCATAACTGGCATTTTACTTAACTATATAGTGACTGCTATTATTTTTCCAAGCAGCATAAATTAGTTTTAGACTAAGAAAAGCAACTCATTAATTTTTAATTTCACATAGTGCAATCTCATCTAATACTGCAAACATTATAGGTAAAGCTAAAATCTCTTTGCTGCCTCCCACTCCCCAGAACTCATCATGTTGGGTGTACGTCCTTTCAGATCTTTCCCCCAACTTTTCAGACCATTTATATTCATATATATGTATGTGTACACATACAGAATTATGTATTTATATTATTCATCACCTGGGTTTTGTAAGTTAGCAGTATGACTTGGAACTCTGCCAGGAACCAGACAAATTCTAGTATTTATTTGTCGTCTCATACTCCATTTCTTTCCTGATGGCCATTTGGCAGTAAAGGAGGAAAAACAAATAACTAAAAGGTGAAACAATCATGAGGAAGGAAGACGGGGAGGGAGGGAGGGACAGAAAAGTAAAACCATTTTCTTGTTAAAAAGGTTGTAAAGCTCCCTTGAATTTCACTAGGGGGAGACAGAGGCACACGGACAAGAAGTGTCCCAATGCGTAGCTGATGGGAGGTTCTTCAGAGTGACGGTAGCCTACCCAGGTATTCCATCACTCTCGGCCCTCCTCTTTCCACCAAACCAGTTTCCGAATGCGTCGACTCTTTCTCAAGTTTCAGGACTGTGAACCTTCGTGTCGCGTTCACCTCGTTCACCAGCATGCACAAACTCTGAGGAGCCCACACCCACTTCCACACCCCCACCCACAAACTCTGGGGAGTGCGCCCGCAAGAGCTGTGGGACAGTCAGTAGATGCGCGATCCAAGGTCCCCTCGAGGAGGGTTAGATGCCCGCAGGTGAGTGAGTGCTTCTCAGGAATCCTGACCCGCTCGTATCCCAGCTTCAGGGCTTGGTGTTTGTCGCCCTCTCCTGGCGGGATTTATTAGCGCGCCTCTCACACCCACCAGTGCGCGCTCAGAGCTGGTGCGGTAGGTGCCCGCGGCCCCAAGAGCAACCGAGGTCACGGTCATCCCGGCGGCTCAAACACACCGACTCGGAGAAATCCCCCCACCTTCCAAGGTTCCCAAAAAGGAGATATGCAGGGACAGCGAAGATACCGAACTCCACCCACGAGGCGTGGTAGAGCGCCCTCTCTCTTAGCCAGAGAGAACAAATTTGTCAGAGGCACCTATTTTCCACATTCCCCACGTGACCAGCCCCATGCTGAGTGCACGGGTGTGTGTCGGGGGCCAGGGATGGGGAGGCGGAGAGCGGGGAGTACAACATAAGATCAGACTCTACCTCTGTCCTCGAGTGGCTTCTGGCCCGCAACAGTTTTTATGTTTTAACTGTCATACACACAGACACACACCCTGCACCCATGCTAGAATATCTGCCTTCCCAGAAGTGAAGCAGGTGGCTTAGCTTCTCTCCCCTCTGATCCCAGACCTGGCAGGTCCTCACCCCAGCACGCCCCGGTACAGAAGCAAATCATCTGCAAGGCTTCCCTGGGGGAGTGGCACAGGGAGCCGGCAGGTTGCGTCTGACCCTCTGGGCAGTTCCTTGCTGAGTGACCTTGCTTTGGTCTGGCCCCTCCCTGGACCTCTGTCTCCACCTCCCTTGGAGATTCCATCAAGCTTTCACACTCCTAAGTCACCTCTCACCCAGATGACTGTCTCTGTGGTCAGCAGCTGTGGTCTGTCCTTGGACTTGCTGTTGCAGGTGGAGCGAGGCTAGCATTTGCCCATTGTCCCAGCGGGCAGCTGTCCAGGGAGGGAAGCTGGGGAGGTGATTAGACACGCTCTCCAGTTATTGCCAGAAATCTCTCCCGCCCCTGGGACGCTGATCAGTACTCCCAGGCAGGACACTGACTCTGGTTTCCCTGCTGCCCCCTGGAAAGCTGTGCTCACCTCTCTCCTCCCAGGGAGAACCCCCTTGGGTAGGCAGGCTCAGGGTGCCAGCCTCAGCCAAGCCTTGGGGGAACCCAGGCAGCTCCCAAGCTCCTCCTGACATTTATGAGGTGCTGCTGAAATGGGGGATGCCCGGAAGGAATGTTAACTGGTTAAAGCTGTTGACCATGCTTTAACCCGCTGGGATCCCAGTTATTACCATTTTGTTTTAGTTTTTTCCAGAGATGCCGGTTGTGTAGCTGGCTGGTTGCCTTTCTGCACTGGAGCCAGAGATGGGAAGGGGCTGGGGACAAGGACCGGGGGGTGTGGCGGGGCACAGAGCACCCCTGACTTGTCCCCAGCTCCCACCCAGCTTCTTCTGCTTGTTAGGGTCTTAACTCAGGAAGGGATAAAGAGAAAGGTTGGGAAGGGGAGTGGAATGCAGAGGCTGGCAGTGCAGCTTTGGTCTCAGACCCACGAGGGTCCAAATGCTGGCTCTGCCCCCCTTGGCTGTGTGGCACTTGGGTGGCGTCAACCCGTGTCTCAGCTTCTGCTACTGTGTCTGTTATAGGGCCATTAAGCTTCCTGTGTCGTCCTCAGGAATAAAGGAACAGACATGCCTACCCAGTTATCCCGGAAAGTCTCTGGGGCAAGTGACATCTTCCTGGGTGAGTACAGCTGTGCCGACCCTCTAAAGCGTCCGCCTCAGAGTCCAGCTGGAGAAAGTAACTCAGACAGGGAAGGAGACCTGGGGTCTCTTTGTAGCAGATGTGAACCTGGCGGCTGGGCCTTTCTGGTCTGAGTCGAGCTCCATGTTTATCTGAGTCTGAGGGAGTCAAGCCCCCAGAAGCTGGGGAGTCCCATTGACAAAATGATACCTCTGGCTTCTCTCAAGAGGGTGTTCTGAGGGGGAGTCATGGAGAGGGTCTAGACGTGAATTTGCTAAAAAGATCCCAGGGTTCAAACCCTAGACCCACTTCTGGATCAGACCACGTGCTTGTATCATCACAGACGGCCCCTTTCTCCCCCTCTGCCTTCTTTCCTCTCTTCCTACTGCTCTCTTCCTTCCCCTTCTTCTCCTTCCTCTTCTCCCTTCCTTCCCCCTCTCTCCCTAGCTTACTCACTAATTGATTATTTCATCGTTTGCTCAGTATATATCAGATGCTCTGTTAGGCCCTTTCCTCCATCATTTCTTGGTCTGTAAACAATTGTGCTGACTTTCTAATTACAAAAATCTGACTATATCTTAAAATTTCTTGTATAATGAGACATCCATAGACTGCCTGGTGTGGCTGTATTCTATGATACCATCAAGAACTGAGACTCCTGCTGCTCTGCCATCTTTAGTATGTGGCTTCCATCCTCAAGGTTACCCCAGGGTCTAAGAATGCTGTTGAAGCTCCAGCCATCACACCTGAGGTCTAGGGTCCTATACTAGAAGGAAGAGGGTAAAAGACACCCGTCTCACCCTAGTCAGTTGTCTTCAGGAGACTTCCTGAAAGTCCTACCCAGTGACGTTTGCTTAAACTTTAATGGTCTCTCTATCTGCAAAGTAGGCTGGGAAATTCAGTTTTTCAACTGGGCACATGGAAAATTGGAATTCTGTTATTAAGGGAAAAGGAAGAGCAGATAATGGGGGTAGGACAGTAACAGTTTGCTCCACCCTTCCTGATGGCGTTTGCCTCATATGGCCTTGGGGATGCCTTGCCTCCTCCACTCTCCCCAGGGGTGGACAGGGTCCTCCTTAGGCATAGCTAAGCCTTCCCTTCGCATCCACCTTCTTTCCTGAGTGCCTCCATGTTGTGACCTAAAAACCACAACTGTCAAGACTCCTGGTGAAACAGGTAAAAGACACTTTAAAATGATGACATAAAAGTACTTTTATCTGCTTGGCAACAGTATAAAAGTTGTAACATATGCATTGAGAATGAAGAGTAGCAACAAAGGCAAAAAGAAACAAGTGAGGCTATATCAAACTAAAAAGCTTCTTCTGCACAGCAAAGGGGACCATCAGCAAAGTGAAAGACAACCTAGGGAAAATATTTGCAAATCATATATCCAATAAGGGGTTAATATCTAAAATGTATAGGGAACTCCAGCAACACAATATCAACAAACAAACAAAAAGCCCAAATAATCCTATTTTAAAATGAGCAGAGGACCTATTAATAAATGGACATTTTCCCAAAGAAGATATACAAATGGCCAATAACTGTGAGAAGATGCTCAATATCACAATCATCAGGGAAATGCAAATCAAAACCACGATGAGATAGAATCTCACGCATGATAGAACGGATATCATCAAGGAGAAAACAAATAACAAGTATTGGTGAGGATATGGGAAAAATGGAAACCTTGTACACAATTAGTGGGAATGTCAATTGGTACAGCCGTTATGGAAAACAGTACAGAGGCTCCTTAAAAAATTAAAAATAGAACAACCATACCATCCAGCAGTTCCACTTCTGGTATTTTTCCGAAGAAAAGAAAACACTAATTTGAAAAGATACATGCATCTCTATGTTCACTGCAGTATTATTAACAATAGCCAAGATATGGAAGCAACCTAAGTGTCTGTCAATAGTTGAATTGATGGAGATGTGGTGTGTATATACAATGGAATATTACTCAGCCACTAAAAAAAGAATGAAATCTTGCCATTTGTGATATAACATGGATGAACCTAGAGGGTATGTTAACTGAAATAAGTCAGACAAGACAAATACCACTGATCTCACTTACATGTGGAATCCAAAAAACAAAATGAATGAGCAACCATATTAAATCAAAATTCCTAGATACTGAGAATAGACTTATGGTTATCAGAGGGGAAGAAGGTTGGTGGGGGTGGGTGAAATAAGTTAAGGAGGTTGACAATACAGTGATGGATGGTAAGTAGGTTTATAGTGGTGATCACTTTGTAGTGTATACAAAGATGAAACTATTGCTCTGCTGAAACTAATATAAGGTTATATACCAATTTTATGTCAATTTTAAAAAGAGAAAAGGCAAAAAGTGATATATGTGAGAAAGATTACGAGATACAAACTTCCAGTTACAAAATAAATGAGTCACTGGGATGTAATGTACAGCATGGAGAATACAGTCAATTCTATTAAAATATGTTTGCATGGTGGCAGTTGGTTTCTAAACATATTTTTGAAAAAAGAAAAAATATATCACAATTGCTCTCCCACCATTTGTTATGGCATTGACTTGAATTTAACTCGTTTTAACAAGTATTAATGGAGTGCCTGAGTACCTATGCCAGGCACTGTGCTAAATGCTTTGCTCTTTAACAATAATAACAGCTATCCTTTCCTTGTTCCTTACTATGTGCCAGGCTCTGTGTTAGTTTGGATATTTTTTTGTGTCAAAATTCCCTGAAATAGATACAGATACCATTCCTTCTCCCCCACTCCTCCTCCCCTCCCTCCCTACCCCCTATTCTTTCACTGAATCACAGACACTAGAGAGACAAGTAAGTCCCCCTGAGTCACACAGGTAGCAAGCAGCAGAGCTGCGTTTTAAACCAAGCACTGTTGGCTCCAGAGTTATCCTATTCCTTGCTTCCTGTGATGTCTCTAGGGGCAGAGGAAGATCACATTCTCAGTTAGAAAGAATGTGTGGGGACGATGTATGGAGAAGGGCTCCCCCAAGGCCAGGGTGAAAGAGATTGGAAAGGTGAAACACTGACCTTGTTTTATTCTAAAGTGACCACCTATTTATTCGTTTGTCTCTTAGTTTTACTCAGGTTACATTTGAACTGGGAGATGAATAGTGGATCAGAACATGGGGCTTTACAACAGAACTTCCTCTGTGGATTAGCCATATTATTTGAGTTGTAAAGGACAGAAACTTAACTCTGGTGGACTTAAGCAAAAATTACTTACTGGCTCAGTTAACAGAAGAGTTGATGGCTATAGTTGCAGGCACAGTTGCCTCCAGAGGCCAGGCGAATTTAATACAGCCAGCACCAAGGCAAGCTCTTTACATGTGATCCTCATGACATCCTTCCACGTAAGCATCATAGTTCCCATTCTACAGCTGAAGAAGCTAAGGCTCAGGGAGGTTGAGTGACTTCCCCAAGGTCAATGCAACCACCCAGTGGCAGAACCAAAACTTGATCCCATTTCTGC